CAGATCGAGCCCAGCTGCAGCATTACCAACGAGGGCAGTCGCTTGCATGCCGTAGTAGTCGATGCATGGACAAGCAGAACTCCTGCTTCTCCATAAAGCTCGGTATTTCGGATTTGAGCTACACGATGCGCCTTCTTCTACAACTGACGACCACATCAGCAGCTGTCAGAAACTGCATGGTGCGTCAGTGTGTCTGTCAACCTGTGCGAAGGCTTCGTCGAGTGGAGACCTAGGGTGCCTGCCTGGGAGACATAGTCCGAGAGCAATGTTTGGCAGGGCAAGGAATGCATGGCCCTCTCGAAAGTCATACAGCACCTTCGAGGATGGTCACAGATTGGATAGCGGGATGCTACACCTCGTTAAAAGACTCTTGTACAAGCCAATGAAAGTTCGGGCTTCGGCGTGACATTCGTTCGGGAAGTTGGACACTGGACTCGGATTGAGGATGGTTTTGTTCACTGTTGACACCAGAGGGGCATCAGGCGGCGGTAGGCACAAGATCAGTCTCTAGCGTCAAGTGAGGTTTCTGGCCATCGAGAGCCAAAGAGAGCAAGAAAGAAAGGGAGGGTGGAGACGGAGAGCAGAGAAGGAGGGTAGAGGAGTGGAGAGGATTAGAGTCGGGAGGAGGAGAGGAGTGGAAAGTTCGAAAGGGAGTGGAGGACGAGGGTATGGGAGTGGAGACGAGTGGAGAGAGAGAGAGAGAGCAAAAAAAAACGAATGAAGAAAGAGTGTGCGTCTGTGTCTGCGTCTGTGTATTCGTTTATGGCGCGTGAGCAGATTCAATCTCGAACCTCCAGGGTCGGTCCTAAAAACTAAAAAGAGTTCAGACAATGCATATGGTCGGAACATTTATTCGACATGCTCGCAGCTGGCAAATGCGGTGCTGCTGCCAACTAAGAGGCCCGCGCAAAGGATCAGCAGAACTGATGTGAAGCCAATCGTTGCACTGCAAAGCCTGCAACAGGCTAAGATCTCTGCACTCACACACGACTGTTCGGATCTTGCCTTCCCGGCCTGCAAAACGAAGCAAGATTGGGGAAGCCGGTACTTTCCGTCAAGCAAGCGAAGAGGTACGGACAGAGAAAACAAGTACTTACACGCCAGAGGGGCTGCACCAGTGAATGCTCCTGTGAATTCTGCTACAGTGTGACTCTGCAGCCTCAAGCCGCCAGTGGCGATCTCTCTGCCACAGACAGAAGGTTTGCTGACGGGGTGCTGAAAAGTACGCGAAGTTTTGCGGAAGAGGCCGCTGACTGTGCGCCATTCCTGAAAATCACAGACACAGGAAAGCGAGGTGTACGCAAGCGGTGGAGGAGGCGATTCCCGGGACAGCGCTTCGATCTGCGATTTGTTGCCAGGCCAGAGCTCAAACCCACTCCAGTGAAAGCCTCCCATGACCGGGAAAACTGAACCCAAAACCTCCATGCCCGGGCACACACCGCAGGTGGTCGCAGCTCACCTGTTCAGATAAGATAACAACATTTACATCTGTGAGGATCAGCATTCGCGTATGCAGGGCTTCGGCATTTTCAGCTCAAAACTTGAAGACAGGCCTGGCAAATCCCTGCAGGCGTGGCCCTTTGGACGCTTGGACGTGTGTGCCTGTAGACCCAGCTCATCTTACCGATACGATCATTCGAAGTTGAGACTTGAGGCTTGGATTTGCAGCCGCCAAGCGTCAGACAGTTGTGGGGTCCAATTCTACCCGCTCTTGTCAGGACGGGAAACAGCCTTACAGTTGACAAGCCATGCACACTCCTCAAGACTTAGCTGTCGCGGATGCTTTCCGTGCACCTGGTTGCTGAGGAAAGGCTCCACCCATGAGTTGACAATGAGCCTGGGCAAGGCACTGCCTTAGAGGCATCCTCAGAGCTTAGACCCTGAACCAGAAGTCCAGCCTTTCACGTGGACGAAATGCGGAAAGGCCACACAAGGACGTCTTGGGGATGTCGAACAGCATCGCCCGGAACAACCCTCGACCCAACAAAGGCCCGAAATCAAAGAGAGAGAGAGAGAGAGCTGAGGGATTGAGTCTGGTTCTCATGCAGTGCAGCCCACATTCTAGCGATACTAGCTATCGTTGTGTCCTGGGAAACCGGTGAAGCATGCCTTGGGCCTTGAGTTAGTGGCCCTTCTGTCGCTCGTCTACACACTGACATTACTTGCAATGGTTTGGCAAGGCACAGGTTTTTCGGCAACAGTGCCCTGTCAAATTCAAGGCTAGTCGCGTCATGGCATGTGACGTCCGCACCTTGCAGGAAGCGCAGATGGCTCAGCTTCTAAACTATGTAACTACGGACCTAACTGCCTTTGTCATGCTACATTCAGTCTGGAAACAACTTGGGAAATCTGGGCCCACCAGTTCCTGGAAAAGCAGCTGGCAAAAAGCCCACATCCCCTGAAAGCACCTGCCAGAAGCAGGTGAGGATCACCACCCCGGAGGAGACGAAGAAGCCACTGGGTGTCGCAGAGATTTGCCCCGGGATGCCCAGGTTTGGTTTGACGGCTAGCATCATTGCTGATTTCAAGAGGGACTGACCCAAAATATGCCCGAGAGCTTATCTTGACAGCGGTGAGCTTGGATTTATGACTTCAACTGCGAAATTCTGCGAAGATGTGGGCTTGCTCTGATCACAGCCCCTTAAGTATGATGCGCTTACAACTTACAACTTACACTCAGAGGCGCAGCTTAGGTGCCCTAACTTTCACGCTACAAGCAGACTCTGCTTCAGCGCCTACACGGATTTTGCAAGAAGCTCCTCGAAAGTCGTGAATGTTCAAGTCACGGTAAGCACGATTTCAAACTCGCGAAACTGGGAGCGCAGACGTGCCCCTTGTTCGAGCACCGTTTGTCCTGAAGCACAAAACACTCAAATGGTGCAACTTTCAGCCGAGACTCAGCTCGTGGAAGACGACAGAGTAGTTGTTGGGGTCCGTGTGGAAATCCTCTTCAGGTAGGCTTACATCACTCACGAAGGACAGTCTTGAAGCCTCATCCCATGGAAGTGACCGTTGAAAGGATCCTAAAGCTAGCTGCTAAAGGCCGACACAGACGGCGCGAAGTGACTCCCAGCCTCTGCCATCTCCAGATACAGCAAAGTCCAGCGACCTTCCAGGAAACGAGATCTGAGGGGCCGGACAACTGAACCCTCAAGTACTAACCCTAGCCGCCGGTGAACATGGCGCCGACTGAATCACAAGCGTGCCAATGCTGCAAGCCACCCCTCTCGATATTTTCTGAAAACTATGTCCGATTGAACACGGGCCCCGGAATTCTTGTGGCTCAGCAGCCTGCCAAAATCAGCGCCCAACAGATGACGGCAATCAGCGAGTCGCTACACGACCAGACCTCAAACACCTGGCGAAGGCTGTGCAGGGCTTGAGCTCGAGCTGAGTCGAGTTTGCAAAAGACGCGACGAACTTTGTCCTATGGGGGAAGGTGCAGAGACCACAGCTGAACTTCGAGCCTTGAACCCAGAACTCGGATCATGTGGACTTAGTGCGGCACTTTGTCCAAAGACTTCTTCTCCAAGGCGTCGACCAAATCCTGTAAACCTGGAAAACGGAATTCTCGGCGTAGGAAGTCTTGGGCACGATTGATCGTTGCGATTGCATATCTCATGTACAACCTGATTAACAGGCGAAGCTTCACTACTCTGCAGTCCCTTGCAGATGAGTCACTCTGGGAAATCAGCTGCATTCGCTCCTGCGACCAATGCTCGTGCATCTTGATAATACACAAAACACCTTCCTGGCTCATCTCTCTCACCGTGAAACCAACACCACCATGAAAAGGAGGCCCCAGCCGTAGCGGTGACGCGATCGCCTAAAAACAGGCAGTGCTGAATTGAGACTCCAAACCTGGCTCCACGCCGCTCCTTGTAATTGATGCCGCCCCAGCACAAAAGCATCCCCAATGCTCCGACAGCAATGGCTGCGTCCTCAGCTCCAAACATGCCAGAGTGTCAAGCAAGCTTGCAAGCTCCAACCCTCACTCGTAAGGTCCCACAACACCGAGCGAGCGCATGAACCAACGGGTCTTCGGTCGGTGAGTGTTGTGTTGGAACGTAAGATGTCGTAATAATTCCAGGATGCGGAGATTCGAAATCGCAACATGGCCGCAAACCAAGTACCAGCGCCATGCAATTAATATTTAGGCCGAGCACATACGGTTTCAGGATGCTGGATCTTCCCCAACATCCCCGCCTGTCTAAACCCTCGACCCACATAAAAGCAGCCTCAATCCTAAGCTCTAGCTTGGCTCCCAAAGCGCTGAGGCCATCCCAGGTCTGGCGCAGGCCATCAGAACCTGAGGCAAAGGCACAGAAAATCGAGCCTTCTGGGCCTGGGCCGCCGCCCAATTTGTTACACGAAGAGACCCGAAGTGCGCGCCAGAGAAGCAGTGTGCCGGATCAACCGAGACACAACCAAGTTGCACTCCGGACGAAAGTGTGAGTCACAGTCTAAGTTTAGGAGCTTAGGGTATGCACAAGGCTTGACTTCATCATGCCGGCGGAACGAGGACATCTGGGAAGTGTCATGTGGGCGGCTTCGGGAGGCCAAGAGACGACCTGGCAACGACCGATCCGCAAGAAGCTGATCACCACGTATGCTAAAGCGAAGAAGACGACGAGGAAATGGTAAGAAGCCCCTACCTCGGTCATCTGCTGACAGGAGCTACAACAAGCATGTGGGCCAGGACGCAGAATACAAGCTTTCGTGCTAGGTTTGCAGCTTGCAGTCAAGTTTCATCCTTACGACATCCTCCAAGAAGATGGCGCTGCATCCCCGGGAACTACAACCTAACCTTCGATCAGCACCTAAGCCCTTCAGCCGTGCACGGCAAGGGCAAAGGCCCCTTACCACCAGGACAGGACGGAATGCTTTAGGCTGCCACTTGAGCACGCGTTCCAATTAAACAGCTCAGGACCCGAAGCCCATGTAAACGTGCGCAGTCATGTCACCGCCTCGCACCAGAATTTGATTTTTGCTGGATCAACCCTGACTCCGAGACCTCACGAAAAACATGCTGATGCCGTTGAAGATACACAGTGGAAGAAACGTTGTCGCAAGGACACGCAACGTGAAGGGGCCACTTCCTTGGAAGCGGTGCCAACCAATACGGTCTCTCAGTTTCGGGAGGAACTTGGGGCAGAGGCTGTACAAGATAAGTGTAGCGAAGAACGCAGGTTTTGGAGGACATTTGGGGAAGCGTCTTCTTTCGCTGTTCATTATCTGCATAAACCTACCCTACCCAAACTGGAGCCACAAATCTTTGCAAACCTCGAGCCCCGCAGCTCAAGCCTTCAACAAATATCTCCAAACCCACCACACACACTTTATCAAGCTGAGATCTTCCCGCTCCGCTCCACATGGAGCTTCAACTTCCATGGCAGCCGAGGCGCCCAAGGCAAGTCGCCGCTCTTGTCGTCCTGCTGCTTAGGGGACTGACGCAGATTTCGGGCACGGTCTGAACCGAAAACGTTTGCAGGACAGATCATCTGCTTCCATGCCAACACACGTATATTTACAAACGTGTGTGTGCTGAATTGATCTACCGGCGTGGATATGAATCATGCGCAGAACCTGTAAACTTCCAGTTCAGGGATTGAGGACCACAGAAGCAGCCTCGATGACCCGACCCCCACCCCCCCCGGTGTGCCAAGCAAGGATCCTCTTGCACCGAAGGAAAGAGAGGAAGCAGCCCAAGTGTCTTCGAGAGAGTCCGGGAAACTAGCAGGTCCAACGGCCTTCGCAGGCTGTGTTCCGGGCTGCTTCGGTGCAAAGCAACAGAACACCAAAGCAGGCATAACAGGCTCAGAATCTGAGACTTCTTGTCCTATTGGGGGGAGCTCAACGGGGACTCACACTTCGCTTCTCGCGCTGGCAGCGTTGAACTCTGGCCCGACAACCGCTGCCCCTGTCTTCACTAGGAGAAACGAATCAGAACTGGGTAAGCTCGAAATCCGCCGCGCAGCCAACCTGCTTCTCAACTCCAAACCCCGGGACCGCCTGAGGACAAGACCTGGGGGCAAGGGGAAATGCAAAGTGAAATCTCGGAAGAGGCCTCATCAACAGCCACCACGACCTGCTCCAATCCTCTCCGGCCTTGGTGGAGGGAGCACAGGGCATGAGTTCTAGAACTCTGCTCCTATGCTCGTCTCCGCATATTGGAGGAAGATGTTTGCTCGTCACCATGTTTGCACTAGCAGTTCTCATACTTCTTCAATCAAAGGCAAGCTCAATCTAGTGGCATAGCATGTCTTCAAGTGCCAAAGCGCGAGCTTGGGACTCAGGCGTGGAGCACCCCGAAGCTTGACTGGCAACCGTGAAACGCCGTGAAACCTCTGACAGCCCGCAACGGCAGAGGGGCCTCGGCATTCGAGGACGCCCAGCAATCATCGGGAACCTGCTCCCAGGAAGGAGGAGATTGCGCCCTGAAATCTCCCTTCCAGTCCTGTCCCACCTCTTATGGAGGCGCAGCCACTGTGATCTCGCAACATAGAAAAGGCTTGGGAGGTGCCAACGGCAACATGATCCCTCCGGGTCCTGGCCACACTCTAGCTTCCGCAAGAACCACCACGAAGAAATGTAAGCTTCTAGAACGCAGGTGTGCAAGTCATTGGAAGAACAGTACAGGACCAGATTCCTGGATCTCACAAGAAAATCGCCCCGAAATGTTTCGAATTGATGAGGCTATTTGGAAAGCCAGCCTCAGCCGGAAGATGCAGGTCAGCTTCGTTGTGGGGCGACAGGTGTGCGGTGAGAGCCCTGCGTTCAGGACAAGCCGTGATAGTCTCAAGTTAAACTGGAACCTTGATACCTTTGAAGTGATGGACAGAGCATGTTCGTGTGATTTAGGTGGCTGGGATCGTCTAGCACCTGGTGTTAGATGTGGGTGGCAGTGAAGGGCTTCCAACATCCAGAACCCTCACCTTAGCCTCACTGCTCATGTGAGATTTTAGGCGCGCAGGCTGCGTTGAAGTTTGGGATTAGGACAAGATCGGCAACAGGAAAACAAGACACATTGCAATAAAGGTCGGATGGTTCCAGCCCAAATCGAAGCTCGAAGTACTGCGCAAGGTCATGGAGAATGCAAAGACCGCAAAGCTTCAGAACAAATCCATCTCATCGTTAAGTGGTGTTTCAACTGCAGCTTGGACTTTCGGGCTATGGGCCTGGGTTCCCAAGCATGGCTGAATTGGGGGCTTGAGACAATCCATGTACTACCAAGGATTGGCTCGTCCACCTCTGCGGTGACATGTGGGAAGAGTAACGGGGGAATGTAGGAGTGTTGCTTGCATGCCGACCCTTGTTAGGGGGCCCGAATCGAAAGCTTGCGATGCACAGCCTCTCGCGCTCTTTGAAGACATCCGTGAGGTTGCCTCACTCAGGCTACTAGCGAGTCGTTGTTACGATAAAACTCGCAGTTGCTGAGCGTACAAACGTGAGCTGCACTGGCAAGGCTCGCCGCGCAAACAGTTAAATGCTGCAGCAGGATGGATTCTGCCTGGCTGCCCCCTTAAACTCCGAACCGGAGCAGATCCAATGATATCTAATCTTAACCAAAGTCCGAGGTAACCTCGCAGCGCTAAGCTTGAATGAGCATAGCGTGGTCGAAGAATCTCCCTCTGAAAGCCTAGGATTAAGACCTGGTCGCTGACGCAGATGCTCTGCTCTGAATCACCCTCGCCTTAAATGCCAATCTTTCAACTCCATGACTCCCTCACCAAGATGGCGCCGCCTGAAGAAACCACGCGTCTGACGTTCAACATTTCCACCGACTTCCGACGAGACCTAAGCATTCAGATAGCATTGAAGTAAGGAGGGGATTTACACCAAACGATTGGGCCTGCTACCACTGGACGTGTCCTCAACCCTGAAACCCTCGCAGGTGGTAAACCGAACCCGCTGCAGCACCGGGGTCGGACCCACTTCCCCCGACAGCACCTGATCAAGCCTGACAATAGTTCATCGAAGCCCGTGGATCTCAAGTCCCAACCCTCGAAACCCTGAAGAGGCACCTTGTTTTGCAGGCGCTGTCTTTATCTTCGCCGTCCTCGGGGCCAAGTTTGCCGCTTCAGCGCTGCAGGCTTGACGGGAAGAAAGGGGGTCTCAAACACCTCAGCAAGCTCACGAAAAGCCCAAGTACAGTCTGGTTGCTGACTCCGACTGCCCCATTCGCGCGGAGCAGCTCGACCGGTGGGAGGCCGCCCGGTCCACAGAGCCTGCAGGGAGAGAAACTGAACTGCTTGCAGCTTGCAGAAAATTCCTCACCAAGGGTGTCATCAGCTGTGCTCTGTGGGTATCCAAACGTTGAACTTGGTTCACAACTGCAATGCAGATTCTAAGTCGCGGCTTCACGACCCACTGGATTTTCCGCCTTGACACCTACAGTGTGGCTACATCATGTTGCAGCAAGAGTCAGGCGAGCATTCACAGCTCGCAGGCGAACTTGAGGAAACAGAAGTATTCCGCTTGGATCCGCGTGGAACGAAACCACACGTGTACCGTGGAACCTATCACCGCAAACAACGCAGATATTCACACAACAATTACCGTGCACTAAACTGCTACCAAACACAACAACCGCGCCGCTGACCATAGCATAAACAGCATGGATCCTGAAAGAGAAAACGCTCACGTGCTTGCGTCGGGCAAGCACTCGCTCGGCAAACTCGGCAAACGCGCAACACTCGCAACAACGAAACAGAGGCCGACAACAGTTTCCTCAGGCACCGCCGCAGCTACAAGCAAAGCTGGCCACCAGCACTACCACCAGCAGCACCACCACCACCACCACCACCAACACGCCAGCACCACTAAGACCACCACCACCACTGCAAGCACCATGAAGATCCATGATGACGGTGATGGTCACCGTCATCATCATTATCATCATCATCATCATGAGCATCACTATCAGCATCAGCATCGCCAGCAGCAGCACCACCACCACCACCACCAGCACCACCACCACCACCACCACCACCACCACCACCACCACCACCATCGCCATCAACAAAAACTGTGCAACACTCGACAGAAAAAGTCGCAGCTCGAGTGAACAGCACGAGCAGACAGGTCGGAAGCCCCACATGCCCGCCTTGCAAGCTCCTTTTCGGACTCATGGGACCTTCCAAGTCACCGTCCTGCAAGACAACTCCATATTTCGCTAAGGCAGTGAATCGCGAAACTATGCCGCAAAAATTGGCCTCGGCCCCGGCCAGGGCCGAAGCGGTCAGGTTACCGCAGGACCTTCCCGGCCCATCCTTCCTTCTCCGTCCTTGTGGGGCTGCCTATGCGGCCATGCCCGAACAGGCCGACGAGGACAAGGCAAGGCGAAGCGTTTACAAGCATGACTGCAAAAGGTCAGCTTCAGGTGAAGTGCGAAGAAGAACCGAAACTTCTTTCTAAATCCCTGCCACTTTCACAGATGGCACACACACACAGACAAAGCATCGCGAGAACACCGTGAAGCCAAAGGACCCATCGCACGCGGCACGCTGTTCGAAAATGCGAGTAGGACATTACAAACCGGGCTCCGAATGACTGAAAGAGTTCTCGACAGCAGAACCCCACCAGCACTCGCATAGCCCTGCGACCGTCTACTCTATGCCTCAGCCATGCTCAAGCATCAAGCCTAAACCCGAGACCCGCCAGAAATCCTTCGGAGCACCAAAGCAAGGAACCTCCCGAAACACCGCAGTCGACATCAGAACCTTGGGTCGTGTCCTTGACTCCAGTCTGCACATGTAGAGGCGCTGTGAAAACACGGGTCGCGTCTGACCCATCATGGCAGATCCTTCATGCAGCAGGGTCTCATACAGGAAATTCAGCGAGCTTCTTCGGATATTTGGGATACATCTTTTGGAACGCGAGTCGACTTGTAGACCTCTGCGCATGCCAGGAAGCAGTCAACTTATGGTGCTCTAAGGTCTGCGGTCCGTGTAGGTCTGTACAGCAGTGTTGACGCTGATTCGGAACTGCTCTTGGCTCGCCCACTGAGTTGCTGGAAGCCGCTAGCGGATACAAACGCCCATGCATGACGCTTCCTGCTGTCGAGTTCTTCCTCGGCGTCTGGTGCGCCATCCCAGTCTCCAAGACCATGATAACTCCAGGTGTTCAGCTTAAAGCTTCAGGACTCTTCTTTGGATTGGCCTGCTGCCTGAAGCCTCCTGCCCGAACCAACTTTAGGGTCCTTGATGCTGAGTTCGGCCTTGACGTGTCATCCGTCGGCCTGTGCACAGCAGTCGTTGAATGTGGGGTTCATGCCCTCTGATGTCGGCATGGGGCAGTTTCGCGAAGAGGCTCTTCATATAGCAGCCATGTCATTGCACATTCTGGTGAACACTTCCAGATACGATTCACATGGAACCAGGAGTCGTCGGTTGCTGCGGCCGGGAAGTGTCAATATCAACCGCTCAAGCGTCATGCAACAGGATTATGAGAGACTGTATGCAAGGGGCCAAGCAGTTTATCCTGCAGCCAGCAACACGGGAGGCCCCGCTACGCAAAACATGCGCGCACCTCAATGTGTTTTTCATCCCGCACGCCTTTCCGGCATCGATCTCGCGCTCGGGTGTGAAAGCAAAGCATCAAACTGCCTGAAAATCTGGATGCCCGTATCGTCGGGTTGGCATGAAGACTAGCTTGGCATGCGCGAAGCACGGGGAGACAGGAAGCTTTGTGCATGTCTGCAGACCGGTTGTGCCCCAGACACTTGAAGACGCAAGCTTCCAGGTATAAGCCGTGTCCGTTGCAATTGACGCTGGGCAAGACATGCAATCTCATGCCTGACACATCTACGTTTAGAATCTAGCCAGTCTGCTTATTTGACTCCGAGATGCCTTTCCGGATTCGAAGATCTAGACGGGAGTCGGCATTGATGTGGTGAGATGCTCGACTGCGAAGGCACCGCATCAACTGGCCTGAGAGTATGGATGCTGGGCAACCAATGCCATATACGGAATCGCTGAAGACCCTGCAGTCGATAACAACCAGCTCTTGTAACATCACACGATGGGCTTTTCGAGTGGTCTGGGCCCCCGCACTTCTCGAATGATCTGATCGATGTTGCTCTCTTCTCGCCACCGTGGGCGTCGAATACCGGGGCTCCGGGAAGATCGGGGATCACCACTGAGAGGGAGTTGCCGGGACTGCCTGACGGAGACATATTCGCACGGAAGAAGGCATCCAAGGCCGCTGATTTGGGGGTCCGTAAGCAAAGACAGAACACTGGACACTGACAAATTGTGGTCCTCTCACTGTGATAAGGTACAGGAAGGCGATTTCTTCGTATCCTTCTTGGCTGGAAACCAGCCATCGCACACGGCTAAGGAGTGAATGCTCTAAGCGGCATTCGAGGCCGAATTGGGACGAGTGGGTGTGGCGGGGGAGCAGGAGTGTGGCTGGGGTGTGGTGGAAACTGAGCAGCAGAAAGGATTCGCCTTGTTTCCGTGCCCTGTTTATCTGACATTTCATGACCCCTGCATGCAAGCTCATCCTCCAAAAAATTACCGGAGTTCTTGCCTACATGTGAAGAGCCCGCCTCGGCGCTAAACGGCCACACTTTCGGCGGGCTCACTGCCGTGGCGTTTGTCCCAGACCCGTGTGGTTCTTGTTGTTGCTGCTTGTCGCTGCTGTTGCTGTTGCTGTTCTTATTGATTATTGTTGTGAGTGGTTGTGGTTGTCGTTGTCGTTGTCGTTGTCGTTGTCGTTGTCGTTGTCGTCGTGGTCGTGGTCGTGGTGGTGCTGATGCTGGTGCTGGTGCTGGTGCTGGTGCTGGTGCTGGTGCTGGTGCTGGTGCTGGTGCTGGTGCTGGTGCTGGTGCTGGTGCTGGTGCTGGTGCTGGTGCCGCTGCCGCTGCCGCTGGTGCTGGTGCTGGTGCTGGTGCTGGTGCCGGTGCTGGTGCTGGTGCTGGTGCTGGTGCTGGTGCTGGTGCTGGTGCCGGTGCTGGTGCTGGTGCTGGTGCTGGTGCTGGTGGGCGGTTGTTGGTTGTGGTTATTGGTTGTGTTTGTGTTGGTGTTGGTGTTGTTGTTGTTGTTGTGGATGGTTGGTTGGTTGGCTGGTTGAATGGTCGTAGTTGTTGTTTTTGTTGTCGCTGTCGCTGTTGCTGTTTCTGCATCTGCCATCGGGTACAGATATAGAAGCTGATTTTGGGGGTTGTTGGTCTGGGAGTGCACATAGCCAGTCTATGCCTGCCCCTCCCCCCCGAGCCACTGTGTCGCAGCCCTCTCCGAGCCTCTCCCACAAAACACTGGCTTCAAACCCGCGAACTAGGCTAGTCTTCACCACATGAAGCATTTAGAATGAACGACGGACTTGCCACGGGCCTTGCACGGGCTGATTCAGTACTGTTTGGGTCTACCCAAACAGGAGGGGCACGGAAGGTAGAAAACACCGCTAGTGCGGCTCTAGCAGTGCTGTCGTTGCAGCGAACTGAAATCACAGCTTCATGATGGAACTTATGAGCAAGACGGTGATGGTGCTGACGATCGGATCCATTGGTGCGGCTAGCACAGTTTGCATTTATAATAAATTACTGACATAGCAAAGCTTAGTAGAGGCCAGGTCCATTTTCTAAAACCCGATGCAACTTTCCACACTTGAACCGGAGCCCTGCATCCACCCATGCAACTTTTATCATTTTATCACCACCCCAACATAATTCCACCATAGAAATCCATTAAAAAAAAAACTCAAACTCTCCATATAATAACTCTCCATAATAACTCCCCGGCGCCTCTCCGCTCCCGAGCTCCTTCGGTCTCCGTCTCGACGTCGGGTTTAGCTCCTCCCGCGTCTGCTGCTCTTTTTTTTTTTGGGGGGGGCCCTATTTATATAGAGGATTCCCAATTTAGGGGCTAAAAGCGTCCCCCCCGGAACCCCTTCCAAGCTTCAGCTCCTGACACCCCCCGGTCCTGTCTTGCTTGCCTTCCGCGTCGGGGCCCGGGCAGGGCCAATGTCTTGCCTTCAAGCCACGAGCAGAGCACAGAGTTTAGCTCCAACTCGTCTCGAGTCTCACAGAAACGTGTGCTTGGTTAAACAGAAGACTTCGAAGTTCCAAACACCTCGAACACCAACAGTCCAGAGGCCCTCTAAGGGCCGTGCAGGAAGGCTTTCTTGGCAGCGTTCTGTACCTGCGGACAATCAGTGCCGGTTGAACGAAGGAAGCTATGACGGCCTCCCGAAGAACAAGTGCGTATATTGTACTGAGTGCCTCCACCCGTACACAACAAAGACCTGGTGAGAGTTAGGATGCGCATCACTCAGCATGCCACCACGCATTGCAAATGTCGATACACCCAGAATGCCCGGAGAAGTTCTGGACCCCACGGGCCTCTCGCAGGTCTTCGAGGCTTCGAGAGCCGCCTCCGCCTCCGAAACTTGTCGATCTTTCGATGACCTGTTGCGGCGCCAAGGCCCGCATGGCACGACCCGAACGTCTTCTGCGCAGTGTGCGGATACATACACAACAAATTCCTCCATGCTGAAGGTACCTGCGGTATGCACAGAACTCCATGGTATTCGGCTTAACAACAGCTGTTATTCTCTGGAAAAGCACCCGAACCGTCTCGCTCAAATCCTGGGCTTGTGCCCCCACTGCGGACCCCGGCCCAAGTCCTGCAGCCTGTCATCTGAATCTGCCCTGGTGCCTTCTTCCCCAGTTCATCAAGCATGCTTCCGCTGCTGCCTGAGCGTAGAGAGAAACTAAGATGCATGCAAGTCCCTGACCTTGCCGAGAATGCCCGGCCAAATACTTCTCCTTACCTCAATATCGCCATGATACGTGTATGCATTATCTGCATGCCACAAAGCATGCCTGCAATCCTGTTCCGTAACAATCCCGATGAAACAACATGGTCAGGGATCCGTGTGTCAGCTGCGGCCGCGATTTCCTCCGAATGGACAGATGTGATTGATTTCATTGGATCGATGTGCCGCTGCAGGGTTGCTTGGGTTGCAATGCGGAGGATGTCGGAGAGTTGCGTGCAAGCGGGCATGACATGAACAGAACAGGCTGGACTTGCACCATTCAATCTCTGTCGCCTCCTTTCTTAGGAGCCAGGCAGGAAGCAACGTGACGAAGCCCAAGACCACCCCAAGAACACCCAAACGTCCTGCGTGTGTTGACGACCTCCGTCAGCTTGGCCACAGCGTCCTCCAACTTCGTTTCTGTACTGTCCTGCAAGGACTGAGTCCAAGGAGCCTGTGAAAGCAGAGCTTGAAGCCTTGCAATCGAGGACAACTACGAGCTGGACTGGCATGGATTCCAAGGTCTCCCTGACAGGCCGGCGAAATCCTATAAATCCCTGATAATCATCTAACCTGGCACATTCCTCCCGGTTGCCAACCTGACGGGTGATCCAGCTGAGCCAAGAAGCTCGAATCCGATACGTTTACTTTGGACCAAACGTCTGCGCTCTGAGGCTTGGAATATCTGGGAATCAAGACGGTCCCGCAGCAACTGCATCTGCTTCTCCACTCGTGCCATCCACTGCTGCATCACTTCGTGATGTTCGTGAAGGGCCTGCGTTCTGCAAAGCTTCGGGAAGATAGCATTCGGCTTGGGCTTCGGAAGGCGAGTCCAGGGCTGCGAATCTGTGGCGAAGGTTGGGCCTAAACGAAACGAGCAGCCGAGCAGGGAGTCGGGGAGCCTGTACCGAAGATGTTGCACTGCGAATTCGCGCCCATGCTCTTGGCCCAACCGCTCGAGTCCCCGCAATTGCCACGAAACATTCTCCTGAACCATTCTCCTCAAAAGCAAAGCATCCTCATAGGTTAAGGATCTACAGTCTGAGGGCCTCCTGGAGACTGCAGTCGCTGAGGTAAGACTCACTCATGCTCCTCCCGTCTTCTGCTTTTGCTGACGGTTCAGCACTGATGGACCGTACAGTTCGGGGGTGGAGTTCTGTGCAAGATGATTGCTACTCAGCTGAGCGGTAAGCACATCAGAGAAGGTGACAATTCCTGACCTGACTCGAGATCTCATAGCTA